CTTTTTAATTAAATGTCAACTAGTTCGTTCATCTTTTGCAGACAAGTACATGTATTTCAAAAAATATTTCCAATTTAAAAGACATAATTATTCTAAGTATTTTAATTTAGTCTCCAGAGTGTATTCCCAGAATTGATATTTCCATTGGTATGCGTCCGTTTCCTTTAGACATATATACATGTAAATTGCTTTTTGATAGGCATAAATGTCTATGTTCAATTTACGAAAGGATGCAGCTTTTATGATCAAATTAAAAAGTTTCATTTTTTAAAGCTTTACTTTACTGTGACAACACAATTTCTTATCAAAAGTTAATTAAACCCATCTCTTTGTAGAGTTATTTGTGTTTTGTTTCTGTCGTTTTGTTTTGAATAGTAACTAGCTTATGAATAGATAATATAAGTAAGCAGACACATGCATATTGAAACTTTTGACATTTCGTGCTTCTCTTAATTAAATCCTTTGACCAGCTGTGTAGTATGTGACGAAGATTCACCTCTAGTTGCAGGTGTCCTCACACGCCATATCTTACAGGCAGTGACTACATGTATGTCCAAGGACTTGTTTTCAATTTCTCTTTCTTTGTAGGGTGTTGATTGTCTTGTGGAGGGAGATCGTGCCTCTGACTATCGTGAGGATGTCGTGTTTAGCAGAACATTCCCCGTCTTCATCAACACCTGGGGCTGATGTCGGTCTCTGTCATGCAAGGGGATTTCTGTAAGGTTCACCGTATTCGGGCACCTGCAAAATAGTTTTTTATATGATAAATAATCAATATACAACAGTAAAGCATTGGTTCTTCTAAAGAATTGGAGTTTGACAAATATGTTCATTATCACTGTAGTATATTATACTTTACTCAGAAAATGTTAATGAGAATTAAATATATTTTTTTTTAAAAAAACAAACACTTTAATCTTTGCAATACATTTTAATGCTCATTTATTTCTCAGTATGGTGAAGTGATCTGAACTGTAATTATTGGTTCCCATGTGATATGTGCATGTTTACAAGTGGTTCTACTCTATATAAAATTAAATGAATCGTAAACATAATGAATACAGGATGAATAATTTAACATACACTTAGTTTTTTGTGAGGCGTTGTCATTAAAAAAAGGTCGGACGTCAAACAGCTTGACACAGGATTTCATTAGTGACCTAAACAGAATAGAGAAAAAGTGCTTCACTGGGCAATAAGGTCATCGAAATAAGATAAACTTATTTTGGTAATAAAATATTGGCTACAAATGACTTCTATGATAACTATGCACTTAAGTTTCTTATATATGCTGAATGTAAATAAGCCACGACTCTTTGATATATTGACGTCTCTTTGATCATTATCATTTGCAAGCTGTCAGCAAACCATGATAGATGTGTTTTTTTCACTTATTTACATATAATGTTTGTGCAAGTTGCTCGTTGTTCGTCACATGTTTTATTTGTATAAATTTATTGTTATTTGAAAAAAGATATAAATTTGATGCTCTACAAATAAACACTGCAGTATGTGCAATACTGTGTTTGAACAATGGCATGAAACTTGATTTATTGCACTTATATACAACCTATCTAATATATTCACTATAAATTAATGTCTTATCTTCTTTTGTACATGAAATCATGCTTGTATATTCTATATGATTCCAGAGTTTCAAAAACTCTCATTGCATTTTCATGAATCACGTGGCCTTGACCTTTGGAGCAAGCCACCCCTCTCGTTTTTCTTGAAACTCAAATAGGCAAATCATTTTTCAGTGTGCGATTGTATTGTTAGTAAAAGAAGACAATTATCTATAAGTGTATGCCACCTTCATGGTAATTTTCTGTAAACACCCTTTCGATCCTGTGATAATGCATATATTGCATGACAAAACGGAATAAAGCCTGTCACTTCCGGCGCAGGTGTTCGTTGAAACTGGTGTAAAGGAAATCGAGTCGGCCGTGGGGTTCTACCACCAGCGAGATGCGACCAATTCGCTAACGCGGCTTCGTTTTACATTTCATTAAAACTATAATATGCACTGTTTATGGGTAAATCTGTAGGTTTAAGCAAAATTCATTAAAAGTACAAAATGGGTGTCAAATTTTCAAGGTCTTTACCGCCACCTTCCAAAAAAAAGTTCCATTGTTATGTTTCAAACCGAAAGCTTCGAAATGCTTTCCAAACATATGAAAGATTATCGTGTGGAGCAAGCGTATTTATGTTTAATTTCAAGTGAAAGTATTGTTTTTATTAATCTTAATAATAAAGTTATAGGCACTATTTTCAAAAATCTTTGAGTGAGTGTAATACATCATTTCTGTGGGTCAGTAAAATCACTAAAGATTAGAGTTAAACATTTACAATGCCACTTTAACGGAAATTGGAGGTACTACGACCGCAGATTCAAAATTGAAGTAAATAAACAAAAGCATCCGTAATATTATGTAAGACAGAATTTTTATGCATTTAAATCCATGTTGTTCTTAAAATATATTTTATCAATATTTGTTTTGGCAGTTATTATTTTGTAAAAAGTGAATGGATTTCACAACATATCTCCATTCAAAGAATGTTTGAATAATTATTTTATTGATAGAAAATCAGTTGTTATCAAAATTCTATTTAAGTCATTCCGAAAAAAAATGAAGCAGTGTCAATTTTCATTAAAATCACTGTATTTTAGAAAGGTCGATACTTATATCCTATTTCGTTATTAATAATTATTACTATAATAAATTTCAGCGGTATACCCCTTTTTTCTCATGAATTACGCTATAATTTCATTCCAATTAAAAACTTCATATACATGTAGTTGAAATAGTAAAGAAACAAATATTTATTTTGCATTGACGTTTTTTGAGTATTTCTACTATCTAATCGTTCAAAAAATACATTTATTATTGTTGATGCAGGATTATCACCCGAAGGCATAACAAGTGGGTAATTAATATTTGATAATTAGCGACAAATGTCCGTGAATTCCAAGGCATCCATGAGAGCGGTGCGCGCGGTGTTAGGTTGACATGACAAATTCTATATCCGCAAGGGACGCAACTCGTATCTGAAGGGCCAGAAATATGTGTGTAAAGAGTCCCAATTATTAATTATTAACTGTTTCTTTAATGCGTGTAACCTTTGATTTACAACAGCTGTTTTTATGTTCTGACAAATTTCCCGCCACAATAATTGATGAAGCATATGTACACGTTATACTAAAAATGCAAAATCAGCATTATAGAAGGAAAATTTACATATCGGATAGATTTAAATGATTTTCTATATGAAATAATTAGTAATGAACTATTAAACAAGGTCAATATGTTTTCCAATTTCTTATCGTAGATTGAAAAGCGCAAAATGTATGTCTTATATAAATGCTCATCACGTTTATGGAATTGCGTTTTCAATAAAATGGGTCAGTTTTTTTGGAAAATCACGATTTTATGTTTTGTTCGTTTTCTTCAAGTTTTTTTTTTCTTCGGTAGTTATATTCATTTTTTTAAAACTATTTTTTAATACATTTATTCCTTTGTAAAAAAAAGTTCATTTTTCGAGAATAATTCACGCTCGGAGTAACATGTGCTTTAGAATTAGATTTATTAAGTAATGTGTCTCTCCGCCCGCAATCCATCGCTCTCTAAATACCTACAGTATGCTGATGAGTCCTCCACGCTGCAATACTTAGCGAAGGATAGCCCGCTATATCTAGATAAAAATGTCCCATACTGTGTTGACAGTGCAGTTGAAAGGTTTTCTAACTCAATTAAAATATTTGTATGACAGTTTCATTCAAATTTGCAGCATTTGCTGTCCGGCATTTTATAGTCTGTTATAAATTTTCCTCAAGTTTACGACCTCCACAAATCTCATGCTTTATATACATGATGCATACGCGAATTCTCTACTGAATAGGCTAATTAAGTCTTAAAAAGTTTAACTTGAGGTACTCTATAACATTGAATCCCTTGAACATTCCATAAACACTTTCTATCCCATCCCTTCAAAACCGCATCATTATGAACAAAGGATTGAATTTATTGTAAACCTTTTAAATATTTCATTCAAACTTGGGGAGAATTTATTAATTTCACTCCTGCGTCACAATAGTCTGTTGTCATTAATGACCCCGTACCATCGTACCCATAATCACACCCCCACTGTAAATCTGATTATAGAAGTGTCTATACGCAGGGATTTGTATTGATGACCCTGCAAAATAATACAGGGCATAAAATTTAACTGCAGATTTTATAGTTCACATCGCCATCAAACAGACAAAGAGCTATTTACTAAAGTAAGTATAAGTAAAGTTTTCTACTTGGAGTGGGACTATTGACAAACAATTCAGAAACATGACGGCCATCAAATCTTCTATTTCACTTTATGCATTGACCTTCATAAGCAATAAAACCATATCGCTTTAAAATGATAATACATGTACATTCAAAACATATCACGTCTGTTTTAATTAGGACAGCAAGCATTATTAATTTGTACTGATATCTGTTGAGTAGAAAAATGAGTTTAAAGTTAATATTATTGATTGCTTTGTTTGGATCCATAAACAGAGACTCTCAGTTTTGATTTCTAAATACACATGTCTCATTTGAAAAGTGTCATTCCCTGCAGGGGGCGACATGCATTTATCTAAGAGTAGAATTTTCAACTCAAAATGGATTTTTGTCGACAGCTTCAAAGGCTGCAGCACTACTTTACTGTATCAATCAGTAATGAGAAAGAATATTGAGAGGGAGAAATCCATTAGATATTAAATAAACCGTTAAACAAAGTCCCTCTCTCTGGGTTATTGCACCTTCTAGGAGAGCAAAGTCCACCTGTATATAAATGGAAAAAATCGTGCGCTTTTTGGAATATTTTTTTGCCACATTTCCCTTAATTTACATATTTTAATTAATGCACTTTAAGTAATGGTATAAAAATGTACGTCCTTGAAGGGCTGTTTCGTCCTAAAACAGAAAACAACAATGCGTCATATAATTACGTGTTTTTATTAAGAATTCACTTTTGGCATGAATGAGAAATTGACTAGAATAAGTTGCATAATACTGGCTCAGCTTTTATGAATATTGACGAATCACTCATTGCTAAGTTATTTTCAGTTCACAGCGGACAGTTCTGTTTGTAAATTTTCACAACTAGACAAATTGGACACGAGTAACAAGTAATCCATATGGCCGGCAAGTTCTTTATTTGGAATAAAGTCAAATCTGAAAGTACAAAGAAGTAATATTTAGATTTTTTTTCAATTTTAGCATATCATTTTTTTAAAATTGAATTCCTTACAACTTTAAAATTGAAAAAAATAAAAGCATTTTCAATATTTTTTATCTATAATTCAATTTTTAAAAAAAGTAATTAGCCTTCTTTTTTGAATGCTTTAAACTTTAACTAATAAATAATTTATGTAATGCTTACATAATTCTCTGGAGACTTGAGTGGTCCGTCTGTGAAGTAGAGCACACCGGGCATTGAGATTAGATTCTGTCATGGAGATTATGGGAGGGTTACATAACAGTGGCTGTAATGTGTCTGGGATTGACCGCCGGCCTGGTGTCCAATACACTGGTCAATATTTACAAAGTCACTTCTATGTCCTTCTGGTACAGAAAGTCACATTCTCCATAACCCGAGTCCACAGAACTTTGTGCTCCGTGCACAATATGAACTGATTTACCATTCACCGACATCTTGGTGTCCAAAAACTTTGATTTTTGCACAAAATTATCCTTCACCTCGTCAATAGATTTCACTTGATCCGCCGATTCGATGTGGATTTTGGGTACGGTGAGGATTGATTCTTTGACGTCCAGAATCCCTTCGTCTGGGGCGTACATGTCGGTTTCTGAGAGCGAGTCGTCACTGCCCCTCAGGTTTACTGAGCTCGCCTGGAGCGAGTTCTGGCTGGCGCTGTACCATCTCCGCGTCTTGATGTCTTCTATCGTCTCGTTCAGAGTCAGTAGCTGTTTCATCAGACACAGATCTTGGTCCATTAGAGAGGCCTGATCAAAAAAGAAACAAAATCCTTTATTCCCTTTTTCATAGTCTACGCCATGTTATAAACAATGGTCAAGTTAACTTTTTCTGCATGTGCACACAACTGCATTTCATTAACATCATTTTTTGAAATAGATAGACATATACTCTTAATGATATTTAAGCTATATAACTTGTCCAGATTTTTATCTCAGCGGGTATTCGACTTTCTGTAGATAATTTACTACCGCCTTTAAGAGGTGTAATATGTTTTGTGTCTTCTTATTTGTTCGAGTGTTTAGAAATTCCACACTATCCCCCATCCTGAAGCAGTTCTTACAAATCGTTCTTTTATTAATGTCTACCAGACCAAGCGAGATGTTTTGTTATACAAAATACCTATATCATCGCGAGCAACAGGGTGTCAGATTTTCTTTTAAACCACATGGGACAGAAAAAGTGCCATCTCATGCCTTACAGATGGATTTACCCTTACGCGGGAAGATGATATTTCCAGTTTTAACATTAATAAGCAATATAAATAAAATATATGGAGAATGCAGTAGAAAATAGTTTTCTTTTAGCTTTTTTTTAAATTTTAGTTGATTCAGTTGTCATATTCGTAGAAATAAAGATGTGTGGTTTGCATGCACATTTTAAGAAGAAGAGAGCAGTGCAATTATAGCGAAAATCTCGTATTAGTAAAAATTACCATTTCTTTTCTGAGAGTCTCCATCGCTACATCTATGGACGATCTCTTCCTCTGCAGCACTTTCTCCTGTTTACTTTTCTCTTCCTCTTTCATCTGCTCCTTAAAACTTTCAGTCGCTTTCTTCCTGTTGATGTAAAATTCCCTGCATGCATTGGAAAAGTCAATAGCTGCAGAATAGTGATCATCAGGCACAGATAAGTAATTATTGTTCTCCATTGCTGGTCACTGCAGTGTCAAACACCTTGCTTAATGAAGTCAGGTAATTAAATCCCTGTAGCAGGTTTTCTGTTTTATCGGGACACAGTCTACCTGTCCGACGTTTAATGCCTTATATGCTTCAAGATGAAATACACAATTCATATATACTTACCTGTAAAACCCACGAGTCACGTGACATAAACGGAATTCGTGGTTGGTCACAGTGGATTCTTTATAAATTTTATTCTATTTCTATCAATAATAAAGGGTATTCTAAGAATTATTTTTAGGCATTGGTGAAAAATGACTGCTATTAATACGTCATTTTAATAATTAATGAAAATTTTTCTTTTTAAAAAAATCACCATTTGATTACTTCCGAATATATTTGTGAATGGTTCATTTGATTTGGGTCTGAACATAATTATTAAAAAGAAGTCTAATAAAATTAAATTTTAATGTTCATTTGATTTTCTTGATTATTTGATATTATTTGTCTATCACTTGCATATTTGTTGTTTGAAAAACATGGAATTGATTTATACATGAACATTCCCATAGTTTGAGAAAGTTTCTAGTTAGACATACGCAGTTCCACAATAATGTCAAATATTTTTCATTGCTAAAATATATTGGCACACGCGTCGCCGTGTATTTTAAATTATTATTTTTGAAGTATGTATTTAAAGTACATATATGTATGTATCATATCGATGCCGTTTATCTAATTAATTCAATATTTAAAAAAAAAACTCTTGCAAAAATATCCTAGTTCCGCCAATTTGTCTAAAATAAAACAATACATTAATACAAAAGATGAATATAATATTTCATAATCTGTAATTGACCATAATAGTATTAGTAAGGGCGCGCGACATGCAGGCGGAGGGGAGAAGTAGCATTTCCTAGGGTAGCCAAAATCTGTACAGGTCCCCCGAAACTTGATACAGAAAGACAAAGGGGCACCGAGCAAAGTCTGCCGCGAAAAACCGAGGAGGAAGGTAGATTATAACAATATACACCACAGCCAAACCTAACATTAAATCTTACAAACATATAGATAGGAATCAAACCTTTGTGGGCTTGTTTAAAGAAAATGGGTGTGATGTTAAAATGGTTTATTGCCTTGCCACACTATGATTAACTTTTCCTCAAAAATTTCTTTTTCAGAGACATTTTTCAGGTGACTTCTTTTAAGTTACAAGATGTGTTAGTAACATACTTATTTGAAATTTTATAAAAGCTATCCAAAACTATCATTAGTTGTTGCACTTTTTCAAATATCACAAATATTAACAATTATCAAATTCAAAACTAGAGTTAAAGACGGTAAAAATGATACCTCTGTTAAAGTGAAATTAGGCGTACCCAAATAAATAAGGTTTACTTTATAGTAAACATAAATATCGGGCTTCAATTAACTCATATTTCTTTTAATTCTAGATAATATCTAAACATCAATGTACTCTAATCAATGATACCATTGTCATTTCATATAGGTACAGGCGTTTTATATGACCATATCTATTACCTTTATATTATTTATCCATCGAAATTTGAGAATGTTAAGCGCCGCAATCAATTTGGCAAGGCTTTCCGACTCAAGACTACTTGTTGGAGAACTGTTATTGACATTTTTGAAATACTCTTAATGAATTGAGGAGTACACTGGGTACAAGTGTACAGGTATTGGGGCCGAGGTCTGAAGACTAGCCCTGTAATACCAGGTAACAGGCTTGATACTCCAGTTCTAAACTCCTGTGGTTACATCTTCTTGTCTAGACGTCCAAAATCTTATTAAATGTCCAACGTAGATAATTAATGTCCTATTTTACCTATCGCTAATCACGCTACCTGTCCAGCAGGTGTGGAATATTACAGGCTAAGGTATGCGAGACTGCTGTTATGATATAACTGTACCACACCAGAAAATAATTAGGTATTACAAGACTTATTTAAACAGAACAAGGTAAACTAAATAACTTCACGCACTTTATTTCACATGAAGTCGTAAATTTTTAGCAAAGATCAATCTCCGATCAATGCGTGTCAATCATACAGCAAAAATGTCAAGTAAAAGTGTTTTGATGAATAATCCATGCCGCAAAAGATGATGTGCCATCCAAATAAGGTACTGGTACAAAGTTAATAATACAGTAATTAAGTTGTAAAATTCCACTACCTTAATTTCAGAAATAGAGCAATGTTGATTAAAAGACACCAAGTGATGTTTCCATGAACAAGCAATATTCCAAACATTCAAAACATCACAATTAAGAATTCATACGAAAAGTTGATCAGTAAATTCTGTAAGTTTTATTTTTACCGTTAATTAAATATCAACAACAAACAAACAAATAAGAAAAAGGATAAATATTGATACATTCAGAAAAACTAATATTAATTTTTAAAAATGTGACACAGAATGTGAAGATTTGTATTTTTGCTCGGGGAATTTTACTGTTGCGATTGATTCTCCCCTCGCTGTTGTATAATACAGACATTTGTTGTAGTATTTAGATAACTGTGCTGTTGATTAATCACCGCCACAAAAAGTTCCTTCCGCGATGCACTTCATTAGTTACTTATGTCTATACAGTGTTCATATTGACAAAATCTTTGTAAATGTTTCATGTCAAACATAAGGGGATTTTTATGTCAATTTGAAGTAATTATTATGACATCAATAATTATATATTTTTTGATGATGTTAACTGATTATTTTTTGTTAATAGATATAATGAAGAATTTGTTTATTTTTATATAATGATAAAGTAAAAAGGCGTTTCCAAAGAAATAAACCGGAGAGCAAGAAAATAAGGAAGGAAAAATACTGGTAATGTAAAGTTCAATCAATCTTATAATCTTTTTGTTATAACTATTTTTTTTTATGCCACGATGCTTTGCATGATAAGCACGGCTTAAAAAATCCCCATTAGTTATGTTTAAGTGGCTTCTTATCCCTACCAGTTTCCCTACCCCTATTATTGCTTTCCAGTGATTACTATTGCTGGATTGTTTTTAAAATTGTTACCAGTTTAGTGTCGGACTAGAAATTTACACCATCACCTGACTATACTTGATCAGTTCGTACTGGGCCCTGTTAACAAAGCAGGTACAACATTATCTTTTAGTTTGTAAGGCTCATATAAAATGTATTTTAGAGGGACTTTGATTTACTTCTACTAGCGAAAATCACTTATACTCATAGTTCCCTTTCTGATTAAGAAATACTCATAGTTCCCTTTCTAATTAAGAAATATTTCAAAATCATTTGTCAGCTAGGATATTTTTTAATATTCCAAACAACCAAAATGAGACTGAATTTCGATATCTATATTGAATTCAGAAACTTCATAAAATCCTTACAAACAAAGATACATGGCGGGTTCCAGTATGTATATTCTACCTAGCCTCTCTAAACGATATCGTATATCCGAGAAGTGATGTAAATCAGATATGGATACTAAAAAATTCCAAGAAACATTTGGAACATTTGAATTCACAAAATTTTACCAAAATCAAACTTACAACTTTCCAACTTTATCTACAATAAAAGTCTCACGATAAACTAAAGTCCAGGCTTTTCGATATCATTGACATCTGCTTTTTCATTAAAAAATGGAACTCGTAAATTTACTTACCTTGTCATTGCAAGTTCATTTGCAAAATTAATTCGTTTAAAACATCCTGATTAAATTGTACACACAAGTACTCTGAATTTGATATAAAAAAGATGCTCGAGTTTCTGATTGACAATATTTATTTGTTTTTTGTTTGTTTTTTTTTGTTTGTTTGTTTGTTTGTTTTGTTTTTTTTTTTTTGGAGACCAGGTCTTTCAACAATCTATTGGAATTTCCGTGTGTTTCAATTGCGCCCTGTTGTCAAATAAGCTGCTGAAACAGGAATATTAGCAGTCTCGTTTAAAGTCATCGTTTTGTTACATATTTGGTCGATACAGTGACATTGTCAGGAAATATAATTTATCATTATGCCAAATGCTGACCGACGTTCTTTATTCTAATTATTAGCCCATTATTTACACACTGAATTGTCGACGGATTTTTTTTTCTCGTAATTTCCCAATCGTGACAAAGAGCACATGACGGGTGTGACCAGTCGGCAGGGGATGTTCACTCCTCCCTGGTACCTGATCCCACCTCCGATTTTTTTTTTTAATGATTCTGCTTCATAGGAGCAGGTCAGCTTATAAAGAAACACAATTGGCGCCCATCGTAATTTCAACAGATTTCGGAAGACTTGATCACCAATGACTACATTCTTTATACCCGGTATTGTCAACGAGAAACTCCAACATACTTAAACTTCAGAGCGCCTGTGTAAAGAGTAAGTGTGTTTTTATCAACTAATTTTTTCATGACCCAGAACTACCTAGGAAAATATTCTAGTCCAATTTTTATTGAAGAAACAGTTGTCTATAATATCAAAAGACTAATAGATTTTTTTTAAATATCGCGAGGAATTATGTATATGGTGTAGAAAGGGCGTGTGGTTTGATGCCCTACAAAAGCTTAAAAAGATTGGTGTAATTACGTTTATAATAGAGTTTTGTTGCCAGATTGCAATTAACGTCCTTTTCCAGTAAGATATCCAAATATGACAAAGATGTGTCAGACCGAGGTGTCGGGATATAGTGAACCAACTTGGTAATGGAAATGAATATTATTGTTTGATAAAAAGTCATCGACATGTAGTCTAATTTGAATAAGACGCCACAACAAGAGATTTCTTTTTTTCATTTTAACTTTTTATTTTAAATTCAGCTTCACAAGAATTAAAAAATATTACTGCTAATACTGGGCACAACTGGCACCCCTATTATTTCCAACTGATAGCTTGAAGACTTGGATCTCCATAAAATACAAAGATATTGTCAATCAGAAATCCAAGAATAATTCTATCATCAACTTCGGAGTAACTGTTTGTACAATCAAATTTTTTAACAAAATAATTCTGCAACTGACCAGTGACAATTAAGTAAATGAACGATCGAGTTCTATTTTTATTTCAAAAGCAGCAGTCAATGATATCGTTTTCATGTTCTGCTTTGCGATGATTTGTATGATTTGAAGGGACTTTTGAGCTAGAATACTGTCATTTACTCCATATATTTCATGTGATTTATTTCGGTA